ATGGTCACCAGTGTTACGTTTCTAAACTATCCCTACTGCTGGACATTAGTTTTTAGTAATCCAAACTCCACTGATGGTCACCTGGAGTGTTATGTTCGCTTGGTATTACTAGCTGATGTTTTCTGTTCTGTATTTCCACTGCCTCCAGTTCAAATTTATTGAACAACAAGTACATTTATATTTACACTATATTTACAACACAATTTCATTATTACTAACTTCCTAGTTCTCACTTTAACTCTAACTTTCTAGCTGTCCTCTATATCTGTAGATCACCTATCAACTCTGTCTCCCTATCTCAACCTCCTTCCTCAAGACTCCTTAACTCAACTCCCCAACCCAACTCTCTTCTCCTCTTTCGAGTCCTAAGCTGAATTTCCTTACTATCTGTCCCTTAGCAAAATCCTGCTACATTCAAAACGGCTAATAAATGCATAACAGTGACTGTGAAAAACCAATAAAATGTATTAGGGTTGGCATGAAAAAATAGGGTTGGTTGGGAAACGGGAAACACAGCTATATTTGTATTTTGCCTAATCTGCATTCCACCACTCTACTTAAATTTGATCTTCTGTGTATTTGACCGTGATGGAATGGATAAATGGACAGTAAAAACCTGTACAATCACATGTTTACTGTGATGTAATGGTTAAATGGACAGTAAAAACCTGTACAATCACATGTTCTGCCATGGTCAGATGATGTTCTGCTCACAAATCAGTAAATTTTGTATTTTTGGCTATTTGCTTCTATGGTTACAGGAAAGATATTGAAAATAAGATTTCCAAAATAACAAATGTTACAGCTCGGGCACTAGTCTGATATGTGTACCAGGTTTCAAAGACATATATTTTAAATGCTTTCAAGTTGCAATTGTGGTCAGGTAAACTAAGATTCTGTGAATTTTGTATTTTGGAGTATTTGTTTCCATGGTAACAGGAAAGATATTGTTACATGCTTTCTTAGAGACATGTGAAATGGAACATTGTTCTGATTTGAAGCTCTGGAACATTGAATTTTTAGTTTTGGCTACTTGTTTCCATGGTAATTGGAAAGACACTGAAATGAGGATTCCCAAATACCATTGACACGTAGCTTGATATGTTTACAAACTATTTCTGGGATGTGTGGAGTTGTTTTAGATTTGTTGTCTAGAAAATCTCTGAAACACTGATTTTTGTAAGTTTTAGCTAATTGTTGCCGTGATATTAAATGAAAAGATATTAACAATAAGAAATCCAGACAAAAAAGCAAAACTCACAACCAAGGGCCCTAGTCTGATATGTGTACCAGGTTTCATAGAGATATCTTTAAAATGCCTTCAAGTTGTGGCCTGGAAAAAATGGAAAAACCTTGAAACTATTATTTTTAGGATTGTAGGATTGTTCAACAGCCAAAAAAATGGCATCACTAGTGGGCCAGATATAATCATACGTGTAAGGAGTTTCATACAGATAGGTGGAACATTTACGGAGCTGTTGCTCAGAATGCACAGATAAAGATGAACACATGGACTGATAGAGCCCAATATATAAATGCCCCTGCAAGCACACTTTCTTTTTTTAATGTGATGGTGGGGAGGGGGTTAGGTATAGACAATGGACAATATGGGGCTATGTTCAATTCAACTTAACAATTCCTCACACTGATTAAAAATAGGTAATATGTACACAAGGACTCACTGTACATGTTTGGCCAAGGATGCACAAGTACTATCTGTCTTACACTTTTCTCAATTTAATGTTCAGATGATTAAAAAAACATCCATCATTGTGTGAACTCAACTTGTTGCAGAGGACAATTAACTTTCACCAACACCCCAGGCACACAGCCAAGATAGAAATAAAAACACACTTTCAACATGCAATTATATGAGACATGCAAAGGATTTATAATGAGATTGCAATTACACTGAACATACTTTCACTTATCAATCATAAACATCTATTTCATTTTGTCATAAAAAATTAAGGTATGGGTAAATGCACATGCACATTGTACTGTTGACTTGGCATTAATCCCAAAAATTATTTCCACAATGTTTAATATGTGAATATTTGCGAATTATGTATGACTCCTGTAGGGAAATATGTTGAAGATTGAATACATAATACAGTGGGTTGTATACACACACAGTTCACATGAAGTTATAGATTAACATTGAGAAAACAATACAGAACAGCCATGGTATGGAGTTTTCGATCCCAAAGGTCATTTTATTGACAAATGCATACAGCCCGGGCCCTTGTCTACATACAATATCACACGGGAGTTTTTTCAGTTTTATGCTCTGTTAAGTATCTATACTATCAAATCGGTAGTATACATTACAAATACTTACAACGACTGATGGCATGCATCACTGTTTTCAGTGTCCTGGCTTCATTCCATTCCGTCTCATGCACATACAATGACGACTACACTGTTTTAGCCGTTGTTCCTCCTTTCATGGTAGGTTCTCGGGCGAATGAAGGTATTTTATTGATTGGGAATGTCGCTGTTTCATACAGCTGCCTTATAGCCACCGCGCCATAGATCGATACTCAGCAGCAGTACCTCGGATTCGGGACTCAGTTTACATCGAACTGTCTCCGCACAGCACATGACAGCTTTATCATAAGCTGAATGTGCATTCTTAACATCTGTTTTAAATGTTTACCAGTGTCAGCAGGAAGAAAAATATTGCTATAAACCATATTTGAATAAATACAAGTTTATTTTATTATTATTCCTTAAAATTCGCTTGGTTTCTAGCAGACAACACACCATTTTCCTTTCTCATATGAGAAATGAGTTCTAATTGGTCAACAGAAAGTACGGCGCTGTTGATTGGTGTTCGATGAAAAATGGTAGAGGGTAACTTGCGGATATATTTTGCCGGATAACGAAATAAATCATCGTGCCGACAATTGACAGGGAGTAAAGATGGATCTTTAATGTCAAAGAAATGTACAATATATGAATATATTTTCGAGATTAAACGAGACATATTGTAGCAAAGTGGTCCTGGGGAAAACACCAAATACTTAGATTAATATTTGATTATCCTTTGTTTCCAAAAACAGTCACCGAACGATGGATTTCGGAAAACGGAACTGGGAACCAGACCTTAGTTCTGTTTAAGGAAAACGAAAATGGGACCAGAACCACCATCATCAGCATCAGCAGCAGTATCTTCCTGGACAGGAATTAACTCCGTGTGCAGTGTGTTATATACACTTCATTTATTTTACAACAATTATGAAACAAGTTCTTTCAACTTATAAATATTAATCACTCTTTGTGTGGGAGGAAACCGGAGTACCCGGAGAAAACCCATGTAGTCGGGCAGGTGACCCCATACCTTTTCACGTCCGAGCAGCAACCCAGGACCTCAGGGTTTACCCCAAACATATCCAGGTTGGTAATAAGGACCCTGAAGATCGAGAGTTCCTCTGCCTCCTTGATGTTGTTAGGTAGGCTATTCCATAGTGTAACAGATCTTGGTAGGAAACTCTGCTGTTATAGATCAAACTTTGCCGAGATCTGTCTATAGTTGGTAGTGGCACCTCTTGTTCAGGAGTCAGTAGGCTTACGGTGTTGTCCGAGGTCCACGTCCACCTTTTTGTTGATGATGTTGTGGAACATGATTAGTCTCGCTCTCCACTGCTCCAATGTATCCCAGTCCAGTTTCTGTAGGATGGCGGACATGCTCCCAGGAACCCTTGATCTGTAGTCGCCGCTGACGAAACTCGCCGCGCATCTCTGAACTCCCTCAAGACTTCCGTTCCAAGTTCCATTTAAAAGCTGAAATAACACCACCAAAGGAACTTGGACCAAAACACTTGTTCCGTTTCAGAAATACATCATATAAAACAGCCTCTTGTAATCAATTGGGAACCCCAGTTACGTTTCTTTTAAACGGAACTGGGAACCAGAGCCTAGTTCCATTTAAGAAAAACGGAACTGGAAACCAGAGCCTAGTTCCGTTCGGTGATTAGTCTAACAAAGCGAAGTAAAGCGATTATCTAAATCAGGACCATACCAAACAACCCCATGAATTCTACAGTGAACAATGATGTATCGGCTACGGCTGCTGGCCATGAATTCTACAGTGAACAATGATGTATAGGCTACGGCTGAAGCACATGAATTCTACAGTGGACAATGATGTAGCGGCTACGGCTGCTGGACATGAATTCTTCAGTGGACAATGATGTATCGGCTACGGCCGCTGGACATGAATTCTACAGTGAACAATGATGTATAGGCTACGGCTGAAGCACATGAATTCTACAGTGGACAATGATGTATCGGCTACGGCCGCTGGACATGAATTCTACAGTGAAAAATGATGTATCGGCTACGGCTGGTGGACATGAATTCTACAGTGAACAATGATGGATCGGCTACGGCTGCTGGACATGAATTCTACAGTGGACAATGATGTATCGGCTACGGCTGCTGGACTCGGCTTGCATACTATCCCATTCAGGTTGCGCAAGACCATTGAATCCTCTTCTTCTCTCATGTCCGTTTAAGAAACTCTTTTAACTACTCTTTTATTGCCAAACCACAAACAAGTCGTTGTTTGATTAAAGGGATAAACCAATATATTGGAGAGCCACGGAACACGATAATCGCCAAGTATGACAGTGCCTCCAAGTCTAAGGATAAAAAGTGTTTTCATATCGGAGTTATTTATCATGAATGTATCTAAAATCCGAACATGCGTGTCATTTAGGTGGTCTCCCCGTTTCAGAAGATACGACTGAGTCCAGTTAGGAGCCGAGATAACGCAAAGGTTAAAATGTATTGAAAACACCTCTGATGGATGCAAACCAGTTGCATGTCCTTGAAAATCAAGAATTTCCAAGTATACCATGGTTAAAAGATATAGTTTTTACACAACCAACGATGAGCTAGTCTCGCTTGAATTCATCAAATCGTAACAGAGCTACTTACTGCATTGAGAGATATATATATGCTAAAAATGTATCATGACTTTCCGAAGAAAATCTGTAACCAATTGTTGGAAGCCATCCCGTGAGTAAGCTAGCCTCCTGAATATCGTGAACTACGCTGTAACCTTGGGGTGGGGGGTG